ATCTTAGGATGTTAATTCTATCAATAAGTCCGGCTAATCTCAGGGTCGTGGGTTTGAGCCCCAAGTTGGGGGATATGTTTTTTGAGGCTCAAGACCCGAACGGTAAAGTGACTCTAGTATACTTTCGTCTTACGAGTAGTACTGGTGACTTCCCACCGATCTCTGATCTCCGGAAGGAAACAATATTGATAAATTTGAGGTTATCTGAGGCTAAAAAAATTGATTTGAAACAAGTTTCAGTAACTGCAGTTAATTTAATTGAAATAATTCATTATATCCTTTAAACTTAGATGGTCCAAACTGATGACCAACAAGCGAAGATTTTTCAATTCGAAGCTCCACTTCTGCACCCGTTTCACAGATATTCTCCAATTTGATCGTGACATATTGACGTATCGTCAAAGATACGTCAATACCACATGGACTTTCTGTATTCCTGATAAGATAATATAGTTTTGGAAAGAAAATACTAGTTTTTTCCGCTTCTTCTCAATTGACTACGGTTCCCTCAGGAAATAGTTGCAACAATCAACTCCAAAATCTGGAACAAATACCAAAAATAATAAATAATCAAAATAAAAATACTTAATCGGTTACCTACTTTACCACGCAGAAATACATAGTCGGAATTGAAACGTAACTTTAGACGTCAAGAAAGTAAATTAAGTAAGATGTAAAGACATGATTGCAAGTTTTCAGTGATATGAAAACCGTGAAAAACACTGAATTTCAAAAATATCACAAATCGCCATCAGTTTTCAAAATTTTTTTTTTTCAATTACTTTTGTACTTTTTACTGTTGATCGGCTTACACTCAAAACAAGTTCCTCTTTTTTGACTACTACTAAATTTTTGATGAAATACATCGAAAAAATATATGAATATCTATAAAAGAATATATAATTTTCTGGTCTACTTTGCAAAGCAAAGTGTCCTCATTTCGGCCTTAAATCTTTCTTTCACCATACATGATGGCAAAGAATGAGTATTAAATTCATTTAAATCTGATTTTTATGATATCAACATCTTGCAGTGGTATATGACGAAAAATTAATAGAATAGTTGAATTTTGAAGAAGGTACCAGGGAGGTATCAAAAGTAATTGTTTCCTCGGTGATTTTATATTTTTCCATGTCTCCATGGTTTTTTATATGTCTCCACTATTTGATATAATGTTATGTGCCTTTCATATCTCTAAACGTTTCCAATGGTGGTAATATGTGGTAAAGTTATACACTTTTTTCTCTAGACTAGAAAATTACCTGATACTTCCCTGGAACTTACGAAATTTCATTGTTTATCGGAGCCAGTGGGGCGCTGAATTTTTAATACAAATCAACAGATAGAACCACATTGCTGTTGCCATCACTATTTGAACAGGCGTATTGCTCTAGGCCTGCTCCTCTCTTGTTTACAATTGTAGCGAACCTCTCGCAAATATTGACGTGCTGCATTCGAACGTCAAATTCGAAATAATGCCACATTGATAATTCGAACTAATTAATTATTATCTATCAAATCATTGAATTCGTCCTTCGGGCAATTGATCATGTAAAGTCGGCTCTGCAACGATTTGAGAGAATTGCTGGATAGTTGGCTGGACAATTATCATGATTGAAATGGATCATGCGTGAAATCTGAGATTGCCTGATTAGGTGTTAAGAAAAAGATTGACCCTCAGGTGTAATTTGCTGCAGATATGTGATACAATGTGCAACCTACTTATGCATTTAAATATTCATAATTGTATGGAAATTTTGAATTATAGACTACATTGTATGATTAACTTGACAATGGAAATGTTCGAGATTGTTGATAGCTCCGCAAATCATTGATGCATGAATCGTTTTTAATGCATATTGAATATGATATATATATATATATATATATATATATATATATATATATATATATATATATATATATAATATCAAGATGGCGGATGATGATGATGTTGATTCCGACCGCTCTAATAAAAATGTATCGCCATGTGATCAATTAATGTTAGTTTGTGGACATTGTAATAAGAAAGTGGTAGATTCTCTGAAATGTTCTTAATGTAATATCAGTTTCCACCCTTCGTGCTTAGTGCAAGCGAACTGGAAGAAATCAATTACATGTTATCACGTCTGTACTCAATATACTGGCATGTTGGATAGTTAAGTCAGAAAAGAGGAGAAAACTGGAAATATTAATCAAAGTGAACATCTACGTATGCAAGTGAGTCTCTTAGAAAGCCTAGTTGAAGAGGTTAAGAGTAAAAATTCGATTCTTGAGAAAATAAGAAATCTTGAAGTAAGTAAAAAATCAACACAAAAAAAAGGAAACAAAACGAAGCTGATGCTCGGGAAGATGTACCCATCGTGATCATAGATAAAGATGAGGAATTGGTTTCGGACTCTGTGAGCTACGCTGGAAAAACAAAGTCACAGAAATCGCAGAATAAGGACAAAAATTTGACATTGGGTGACAGCACTGTTGACATGTCAAGAGAGATCTGTTTGACATTATAACAACACAGTAATCTAAAGGCTCCCAATCAAAATCAAAATAAAAATAAAACAGATACAAAAAAACGGGGTGATTGGCAACAAACAAAAGCTAGAAAGTACAGAAAACCGAAATTGATTGGTACTTCTATTAGTGAGAACAAATCCGGTTTCATTGGTTCTGAAAAGAAACTGTGGCTTTACATTAATCGTGTAAAAAATCACATTACAACTGAAGTTGTTTTAAAATACTTAAAAGGTAAACCGAAGCATCGTGAGGTTCACTTTGAAGGTCAAAGAACTTCCTGGAAATCGGGATGCCCTGAAAAGATTTGTTGTTGCAGCACCATTTGAACTAAAGGATGAAATGTATTCAGATGATTTCTGGCCAGCTGGTGTTGGAGTAAGAAGGTTCAGCTTTGATAAATACAAAGAAATGAATAAAGGAAATGATGTTTTATTCAAAATGAGCAACAGTCAGCAGTAGTCTCAACTGAAATCTCTGAATTTAGAAGTATTAATGTTACACATCTAAATGTACAATGCCTCTCGACTGCTTAGGATGGTCTGGAACAATTTGCATCTCATAATAAAATTGATTTTCTAGCAATTACTGAGCACTGGCAAGATTTGGAACAGTTAAAATCATATAATTTGAAGGGTTACCATATGATTTCAAGCTTCTGCCGGAAAAAATATAATCATGGAGGTTGTGCAATTTTGCCAGCGATGATGTCAAAGAATGTAAAGTAAGGGCTGACTTAAATACACTCAGGGTTACTAATGTTTTTGAGTGTTCTGCTCTTGAATATAAACTAAATCATAGTCATAAATTGGTTATAGTATGTATATGTTGATAACGATATTCTATTTCATTATATGTTGGTATAATGATTTTTAAATTGAATAAATTATTATATATATATATATATATATATATATATATATATATATATATATATATATATATATATATAAGAAAATGAATACTAGAACCTTCATTCCAAAAATTTGAATTAATCAATGTTTTATCAGAGCTAGCTATGTGAACGTGTACGATGTGATGCCTCCATTAACCCTAAAGGGATAAATGTTATGGAAATATTAACATAGATGCCACATCTGATTGAAGTGCAAGACTGTTGTTTCGATCTACAAGGAACTCGTCAGTTGCACTCACCCTTTATTAGGATGAAACAATTGTATCTTATCATCATTGATCAAGTTCGATGATTTTTTTGAAGCGCACTTGATATTCACTCCCGAAAGTGTTCGTGCACAGGTTCGTGCTCGTTAACAACATTTGAAATATTTCGATTAAGAGTTTCAGTATTGACTAAGTATGAATAATTCGTGAATCTCGAATCTAGTTATCTTTTTGGCCGCCTGGGTTTCATCTGGAGCGATTAGGCATGGGACCATTCTTACACATTGCAGAAAAAGCTCTGTTGTGTTTCAATGAAATGTCTACAAAGCCTCTACGTACTCTCACTAATGTTGTCAGGAGGAGGATTCTAGAATAATAGAGAGAGTTTATACGTTTTTTTTTCGATAGGGGTGGATTGAATGAATAAAACTGATGATTGATAATGAGGATGAAACAATTGTATCTTGCTATCATTCAACAAGTTCGATGATTTACCGAAGCGCACTTAATATTCACTCTAGAAAGTGATAATTTCGTTCTCGTTGACAACATTTGTGTAGACAGCTCCCTGAGAGTTTTATTTGAAATATTTCGCTATTTCGATTGAGAGTCCCAGGATTGACTAAGTATGAATGATGCGTGAATCTCGAGTATATATATATATATATATATATATAAACAATGATAAAAGGAGTATTGTCTTTTAATTAAATAGAAATGTTATGGGTTATAGGCAAGGAAGGAGGCCACTATGAATAAATTTTATCCAATTTGTTTGCCTGGTCTATATTTCGACTGTGTTTACAGTCTTCATCAGGACTCTAAAATAGATGTTTACACAGATATCATGTTAACATTTAGTTAAATAACTTACGGCTTCTAACTTCAACATTCATAAAAGTGATACTATACATAGACCAGAAAAATGTACGCTTGGTCAACACACAATATCTACAAGGCATTTGATTGGCTTTTCCTTAGACTGAACCAGTCTCTGGAAATACCTCCTTCCCTTAGCTTGAGGCTATATAATAAACAACCTGTTTATGTACGTAATATTTCCAATATTTATATTTTCAAGTGCTATATGAAACAACTATTGTTTCAGGGATATTATGTTCTACATTCTGTTTAACAAGGAAATAATATATTCAAGCAAACTATTACGAAAGGTTAAATATACTGTGATATTTCTATTGTTGTTATTCATATTTTTTTCTGGATATATATATTTTTTCACTTATTCAGTGGACCTACAGTTTAATGCCGGTTTCGAACGGCCATTGACCTTCATCAATATAAATTACTCAGAATATGTCATTATTATTCAGACTACTCAAATCATAAACAAACACAAACACTTATGCCTTCACCAGGGCTCGAACCCGAGTTCTACCGTTCCATAGTCGGGTGTTCGCCCGGCTGAGCTACGAAAACCGGCTCGTCTCGATATTTATTTGTAAGCTTATGTTTATGTTTTTCTTCTCTATGACGATATCCTATACTTTCATGTAAGTCTGCAGGAAATAAGGAATGCAAATTTTAAAGAATCACAGATATCGATGTTACTCGTCACAAGCACTGTCAGGACTTTTTGGGACATAACGGAAATCACCGCCACGAGTGCTACCACCGTGAAGATCGCCGCCATGGTGACCGCCAACACGAGCCTGGGATAAATGAAAGTTTCTCTGTGGTGGAATGTGAGAGCCGCAAGGCAGGAAACAAGATATTATTATTGAATATAAACTTAAATTCAAACACTTGAACTTATGATTTACACTTTATTCACTACATAGCATGACGCGTTTCGTCGTTACAAACGACTTCTTCAGATGCTTACAGAATAATAACAACATTTTAAAAACACAGGTATAAATATCAGGGAATTTGAGATTCTATGACTTTGGGTTTTACCTAAGACATTCCATTCAGACATATAATTTTTGACAATTGATTTGACAATTTCAAACACAATTCATCAATTGTGTTTGACACAAAAAAGTGTTTTGTGCCGAATAATCATTAAATGAACATGCCTATGTAAAATGTGATAATACGCATTTTATGATTTTAATCATTTTATTATATTTCCGTCGCAATTGTTCGAAAGAAATGTTTTGAAGTATTTGCCTTTCTCAAGGCATTTTTCCGAATTTCCGCTTTCATTTTAAACTTCCTACATATCAGTTGAACCATCTAGAGAGCAACGTACCAACATTCTTCTCGCTTTTTATTACAAACCTTTTTCTTCGAAGGGGATCCAATAAAATGCAGCCGCATATTTTCATAATATTGTTTGTTTGATATATAGAGCCCCCGATTCACGGAGGTCGTTGCGCCCTATGAAATGTATTCCGTTTGTGATAATACATCCTTTCTTCGGTGACAACTATCATTCGTCTTCGGGCATCCATCCTAATGATGCGAACTGTATAGATTTACTAGAAAAATGACAACGATTTATCTAGAGATAACAACTGAATTACTCCACGAGCTAACCACATTTGAATTTGCATAAACAAAAACCTTGGGGAACAATTTTCATAATACTTTTTGTATATATGATGACTGGAGGATACGCGACTAAAAATGATCGACGAGTCAGGCAAAATGGAGGATGTGAGAGATGCAAGGAGTTCGAGTGTAACCTTTATCAAAATTCAACAGGTAGAAGAATATCGTTGTCTTCGGCATGATTCATTATTTAAAGAGTCTGAATTAATTGTTTTCGGCATGTAAAGAGACTGACTGATTCGTTATTTGAAGAGTCTGGATTAATTTTCTTCGGCATGTAGAGAGCCTGATTCGTTATTTAAAGAGTCTGAATTAGAGTAAAAAGAGTAACAGACAGAGCAAGAAAATTGAAAAAAAAATATGAGAGAAAAGAAGTACAGGAGAGTATGTAAAAATTGCAAAGATTCTTTGAGAACATTTTCAACAAGTATTTGAAAGCGGTCAGGGATACCCAACCGAATCTTCTGAATTCCTTCATTATTACATTACTACTTTATGAAAAAATTTCAGAAATTTTTCAAGTTGACGTCTTTGATTGACAAATAATTTGGATCTTAATGTTGTTTTTTAGTTTTTACTCGATATGTTCTCAATATTTATTCCATTTTTCCAGTAAATTTTTTTAAAAATAAACTCAGAAAATATATGTGAATACATGAATATATCTTAATACTCTTAATCGAAATATTGAAATATTTCAAATAAAACTCTCAGGGAGCTGTCTACACAAATGTTATCAACGAGAACGAACCCATCACTTTCGAGAGTGAATATTAAGTGCTTTTCAAAAAATTCATGGATCTTGTTGAATGAAAATAGGATACAATTGTTTCATCATTATTATGAATCATCAGTCAAAATTTAATCTATCAATCAAGAATCGATGAGATTCAAAACGCCCATAAGTCCTATACCAGAATGAGGGGAATAGTTTTCAGTGAGAATTCACTTGAGCTCCCTCTATCGGAGAAAAGGCGTATCAACTCTCCCTAGCGTTCTAGATTCCTACTCATGACAACTGTAATTCGAGTGTGTAAGGCTTTGTTGACATTTCATTCGAACACTACAGAAAACTGTGCGCAATGTGCAATAATGGTCCTATGCCTAATCGCTCCAGATCACGCCTCGGCGGCAAAAGTATAGCTAGTTTTAAGATTCACGAATCATTCATACTAGTAAATACTGAAATTCTTAATCGAAATATTGAAATATTTCAAATAAAACTCTCAGGGAGCTGTCTACACAAATGTTGTCAAAGAGGGTGAGTATTAAGTGAATATTTACGTGAGCTCCCTCTACCAGAGAGAATACGTATAAACTCTCCCTAGCGTTCTAGATAACTACTCATGACAACAGTAGTGCAAGTGTGTAAGGCTTTGTAGACATCTCATTCGAACACTACAGAAAATTGTCCGCAATCTGTAAGAATGGTCCCATGTCTAATCGCCCCATATCACGCCCAGATTCTTACACATTGCGGACAGTGGACTGTAGTGTTCGAATGAAACGTCTACAAAGCCTTACACGCTCGCGCCAGTGTTGTCATGAGTAGGAATCTAGAACGCTAGATACGTTTATACGTCTTTTCTCCGATAGAGGGAGCTCACGTTGACTTTCACTGAGAACTATTCCCTCTTTCTGGTATAGGACCTATGGCGTATTGAAAGTCATTGATTCTTGGTTGATACATTACATATGGGCTGATGATTCATAATAATAATGAAACAATTGTATCATATTACCATTCAGCAAGATCGATGAATTTTTCGAAACCCACTTAATATTCACTCTCGAAAGTGATGGGTTCGTTCTCGTTGACAACATTTGTGTAGACATCTCCCTGAGAGTTTTATTTGAAATATTTCGATATTTCGATTAAGAGTCTCTAAGGGAGCTGTCTGCACAAATGTGAACAAAAACCAAACAAACCATCAACATTCGAGAATATTTAGTGCATTTCTAAGCACATTGAACTAGTTGGAAATACCATACAGCGCTGTTTCATCCTATTTTGGGAACCATCAGTGGCATTTGCCAAACAATTCCCAAACGCACCAAAACATCCCTTCAAAAGGCTGAAAAAGCGAGTCGCATACACAATTTCAATTCTAATTTCTTATAAATTATAGGCATTTCTTTAGAGAAAGTTAATATTCAAAGTTTAAGACAATATTGGAAATAGCTTTTCCACAGTAACCTCGTCAGTACCATCAATTGCCAGTGATATAACAAATCAATATGATTATAATACAATATCATTACACTCTAGGTTAGGACAGTCATTTAAGCTAAGTGAAGTAAAACCTTCACAATCATTTCCAGGCGAATTAAAATATTTGAGAGTGGTGTAAGATTCAAATTTATATGAATTACTATTGAAAAATTTATAATTTGTTTGAATTATAAGTTATATTACAGAATCATTCAAATGTGTTATATGTTTCTAAAAATCTATCCAGCTATTAAGCAACACATAATAAAAGAAAAAGTTAGTGTCGAAAACACTGAACTCTAAAGGAGGCCCTACACTATCAAGCGGCTTGATCAAATGCTTGAGCAAATTGATTGTATCAAGCGTGATTGATAGTGTAGAAGCCCATTTGATGCTTGAAGCAAGCGTTGACGGTGATTGATAGAAAATTTGAATGACTCAAGCGGTTGATCAAGCGGCATGATAGTGTAGGGCAATTTTTGTCAAGCATTGAGTCAGTCACTCTTTGGAATCCATGGCGTCAACATCCCAAACCACGTCTCACTTCCAAACCGATCCAGAAAACTCGGAGCGAGAGTTTATCAGTTTGTTAATTGATTTATATACCTTCTTTTCTTCTATTCCTTCTTTTTCGCGAAAAAGCGAAAACACGATCGCAAAACCCACTTCTTTGCTTCGACGGATAAGAGAGTTTTGATCAAAAGATTGAAGTGTTGATTGAAGCACGCTTGAAGCTCCCATCAATCGGAGGTTCAAGTATTTGATCAAGCCGCTTGATAGTGTAGGGCCTACTTTATAATCTTAATCTCTGAAAGCGAAGTTGAAAAAATTTATGACGACGTTGAATCAGATCAGTTGTTTGCATTTAATATTGTTTGAATGACAGAGTAATTCGAAAGTATATGAAAGGAAGCATTCATGAGTTACTTCGAGAATTGTCCAGATATAATTTCAAACAAAGATAATGGAAATATCGAACGTCCCTGGCCTTTATTCACTCCATAAAAAGTCAGTTTCAATGGGAATATTTCTCACAGAAATATATAAATAAAGTTTATATCAAGCTTTATTGATGTTTATTTTGAAAATGCGTAATATCGTGGATAAATTGAAATAATGGACACTAGAGTTAGTGGAAATAATGTAAATAAAATTTTATTGTTTATTTTATACGTGGTCCCAACATCGTCAGTGGTTCTCAAAATGTGAACATTCCAGAAATATCTATTCACGATTTCTCATCAAGAAACATTATCATTTTCCTTCGAAAAACATCAACACATTCGTTTCATTAATATTCATACATATATGAATTGTGAATATTTGTAATATTGTGATCACAAAAATTTTGCATAATTTCACACGTAGTACACACGTTAATTTCAAGACCATATTTCAAAATGGAACAATTTGATGAATTTCCAATAATTATCTCACATGTTTGTCAAGTTCCTCATACTAGATCAATACAGACAAAATATAGTAATAATAATAATAAAATAAATTTATTGAGAAACATTCCTCACATTGTAAAATTACATTCATTTCAATTGATACAATAATTACAACTAAGAAGAATGCTCTCAAAAGGACTGAATTCAGTTTTGAGTCTGATCTTCCATTCAGTCCTTGAGCAAAAATATTGGTTCAAACAAAAATATTGGTTAAATTTATATTTACAATAATATACAACTATTAATATGATAAT